AATATCCCAGGAAAAAAAGCCATTAAAATACTGAGATGTTCTCAAACCGTTAATGTGCATTAAAATCACCAAGGGGTGTGCTGAAAATGTAGATTCAGGAGACTGATTTCTCCAGGGCTTAATTCCTAAATTTGAAGTCAAATGAGGGTGCCAGAGCCCAAATATCAAAGAAAGACAGAGAGAGTTCAGCAGTAGAGTGCTGGCCTACCTGGCCCGAAGCCCTGATTTTGATCCCCAGCACCACAAAAAAAGATAAAGAATTAATTAAAAAAGATAAAGAATTAAGTATGAGAATTAAAGCAATATCTTATAAAAAGTCTGAAAATTAGGATTCTTATCCTAAAGAATGGTTTCAATCAAGAAAAAATATGAACATTCATTCAGCCAACACTCACTGAACACCTACTCTGCTGCGCAAATGACAAACATCCCCATTCTCAAAGCACTGATTTCCAGTGGAGACAAAATATAAAGAGTAAGAAAACTTCAGGTTGTGATAAATGCTGTAAAAGAAGAGAATGGAGATACATGGTAACTGTTTTGAAAAGCCAACACCTGAACCATGACTTGTATGACACGACGGAAACATCCAAAGCCCTCGCAGAATCCTCAAATCACAGGGTGCAGCAAATGCAGAGGCTCTTAGGCAAGAGCCAGCTCAGCAGGTCCCAGGGAAAACAGCAATAATGGGGCTGAAATATGAAGCCACTGATGTGGCCAAGCTCCTGGGTAATGAAGCAGGCAGAAGGAAAAGGCAAAGCCAAACTGCATGGGCGTCCTAAGGAGTTTGTTCTCCATTCTGAATGGGGATGACACAAAGTTACATTTTAAGTCATCTCTCAGGCTGTGGTAAGAATGCACCATTAGGGCCGGGGATTTAGCTCAGTGGTTTGGCAGTCTGCCTCGCAAGCACAAGGTCCCAAGTTTGATCCCCAATACAAAAAAAAAAAGAATGCACCATTAAAAAGCCCAAGTGGAAGCAGGGAGACCAGGCATTTACTAGAGTTGATCAGGAGAGATGGTGGCTGCAGGAACGGGCAGAAGTAAATACATAGTGAACACTGACTGAGGAAGATCAAAGAAGAACATAGTCACATGGTGAGTATTAAGAATGAGATGGGGCAACCCACTTTCCAGTCCCTCTTCTGTCTCTCAGAAGCTTTCTTTCTCTCAATAAATTTTTCCTACTCTTAACCTCTGTTGTTCCTAGAATTCATTGATTGATTGGTGCTGGGGATTGAACTCGGGAACTTGTGCTTGTCAGGCAGGCAGCAGAACCACTGAGCTAAATCCCCGGCCTTATTCTTCAATTTTAGAGAACATGAATTCGGATATCTAGCAGGTTTGGGAGCTACATCTGTTCCCCCATATCATTTTGGAGGTCTTCCACCAAAACTACTATTTGGAGTATTTATTCAAGGCACTTCCCTCCTCTTTGGCTGCTGGATTGAAAACAAAGCTTCCAGAATGTTTGGAGACCAAAACTAAGGTAACTGGGCTATGAGGACAGCCAATATTTTGGCCCTGCTCCTCAAGGTCTACAAGATCCAGAAACCTTTCCTACAGGATCTTACATTCTTTGAGGCTGCCAAACTCCAAGCAGTCATACAAATGGAACCAAGGACAAATGTGCTAGACTTCTTATACCGGGATCTACCAGATTGATCTTATATACAGCTCATAACTGCTAAACTATACAATATGACTTCTATGTTGGATTCTGAAGTCCCCTGGATCTTCTCCTTATCCTCTTTGTGGGCTAATATTCATAGCAATCCTGCTGAACTTATAATTTGGCCCATGCATTCTTAACTTTCTTTGGCTTTGATGCCTCCAGACTTAAAAGCTATGCAGCTACCAAGATAACAATGCCTGGCGCCTATCGAAGGCCTTTAGATAGATCCTCTGTAGAGAAACTCTGATCACAATTACGACCTTTTTCAGCTGGAAGTAGCCACAGCTGTCTTTGCCCTTTGCCCCCCTCACAGCAGTTAGAGGTACTTCTTCAGAAAGGGGAGTATCGCAGATAGGTAAATAAATTAGATATCTTTCAAGCAGTTAGGCAGGGCCTCTGCAAGTGTTCTCAGAGAGCCAACACAGCAAGGAGCCAACATGGAGGAAAATCAAGACACATTCACTCAAGGCCAGAATTGTAAAAGGAGAGAAACTACTATATTCTTATGCTTCCCCAGGGGATGAACAGCAGTGCTTGATATTCTAAACAGGTTATCAATCACCTGGGTGAGGGGCCAAAGTCTTAACCCAGCCTTTCCAGGAAATATCGCTGACCCCCACCCTTACTGAAAATCCTTGTATGCTTGCTATGTGACTTGCTCCCCCATTTAATCAATATTACCTGGATGACTGTACTTGTAATCTTATTGGTTGGTCATGGTTTGCTGCACCTCGTGCCCACCTTCTAATTTTCCACTGGGTCTTACAAGTTTTGTCCCATTGTACCCATCTCACCACATGGCTTTGCTGTATAAAACATCTTTGAAAAGTGGGGTGAGTGGGCAACTTTCAGGTCCCCCTTCTGTCTCTCTTAGAAGTTTTCTTTCCCTCAATAAATTTTTCCTACTCTTAAAAAAAATGAGATTTGCAAGCTTTCAGTAAGCTTATGAAAAATCAACCCTAAATGGGTTATTAGCAGCTTTAGGATACTTCACTTAGGTTGATCCACATTTGTAGCATAGTATAACTAAACTTAACCTGAATAAAACCAATAAATAAGCCAAAATTTTAACTTCCACAAGGTCAACTCAGGCTATACCTCTTCTTCCAAGGTAAACAAGCTAACAGTGTCACCACAGAAATCCAGGAGAAAAACTTTCAAACCATTGATTTTAGTATTTATCGCTTTCCAACACAATGAACAACCTGTAAAAGTTAAAATCCAGATCCATGAATGGTGGCACACACCTGTAGTCCCAACATTCAGAGACTGAGGCGGGAGGCTGTGATTTTGAAGCCAGCCTGAACTACCTAGTGAGACTGTCTTTAAAATTAAAAAAAAAAAAGCTGCAAAAATTTAGGTTTTGTTTAAAAAGTACTGGTACATGAAAAAGCAAGTTACAGAAAAGCATGTGTAGTGTGACATCATATATTTATAAAATTCATAAATGCAAAAAAGTCTGGAAGGATATACACTAATGTTTTGGTGATTTATGGGTGGCAGTATTACTGATGATTATTCCTTTTGCTCATCTGCTTTTAGCTACATTTTCTTTATTTTCAAAAGGCATTTCAAATAAGCAAAAATATAGTCCCTGGTTACCATAAAAGGTAAAAACCGGAAAAAGAGGAACTTGAAAGCAATTTCCTTGGGGTCCGGGATGTAGTTCAGTGCCATTAAGCCAGTCTGGCAAGCACAAGATCCTGAGTTTGATTCCCATACTGAGAAAAAAAAAGTAATTTCCTAACAATAAACAAGACCCCCCCAAATATTCTTTCATCCACATTATAATTCCAACCTTGACAAAAGGAAAATCAAATCTCAATGGCACAGAAAGATATAAGAAGAGGTCCATGTCCTACCACCACAAGGACATACACTTCAAGGAAGCAAAGGAATAGCAGCAATGCTTGAGAACTCTTCCAGGATCTAAGAGGGAGAAGGCAAATTTTTCTTCATTCTGGGTGTGTATTAGGGATTCTTCTTATTTTGTTTTATTTTATTTATTTGGGGGGGGTTCTTTTTAAACAGCAAGGAGGAGCCCAGCGTGGTGGCACACACCTGCAATCCCAGCACTCGGGAAGCTGAGGCAGGAGGTTCGCTGTGAGTTCGAGACCAGCCTGGGCTACATAGTGAGTTCCAGGTCAGTCTCAACTACATAGTGAGACCCTGTCTCAAAAAAACAAAAAACAAAAAGCAAAACAAACAAAAAGAAGCAAAGAGGGTTTAGCTCAGTGGCACCGCACCTACCTCGCAAGCACAAGGTCCTGAGTTCGATCCCCCTACCAAAAAAAAAAAAAAAAAAAGCAAGGAGGCCAAGGAAGTTTGGTTTTCTGGTCTCCCTTCCAAGGGAGGGAGCCGGCTGGCCGCAGGCTACATTACAGGCACCCACGGGAGCCATCGCCTAAAGAGGAGGGGACCCGAGCCTTGGGCCAGTTCCACAGCACTGGCAGCACTATTTCGTCTGGGAGCGGCCTTGCATTTCCGAATTAGTGCACAAATAGCTGCCAAGGGCTTCGGTCAACACAAACCCTAGAGTGGAAGACATCTCCTACAAAGGCACCAGTGCGTGGAGCTCACCGACTCTCCAGATGCCAACACTACGACATTCTTTTATTTAGGCCACATCCTCAATTCTGTACACCGGGGCAACTGAAAACATCCTACCAATTCTCCACAGCTGACAAATATGATCTGGGGTACAATCCTAACATTCTTAAAGAGCCACTTTGGAAAACTTTGGTTTCCAGCAACAACACGAGGCTTGAAGTCCACCTCACAGCACTCGTTCCAATAAAGGGCGCGCTGCTACCTCCTGACCATCCGCCCTGGTTCCACTTACTGAACAAACAGGAAAATGGGAATCCTTTAAATTCGCAAACCAAGCAGGCTAAAAAAGCTCTTCCTTTCAGGATGGTAGCTTTCCTGTACCATCAATCACAACAAAGGACGCTTCCCGGTGACTTGGCCAGCCACAGAAAGGGCTGAGACAGATGAAACAGTGTGTACATCGCAGGGCTGTGGAGTTTCTCCTTTCCAGATGCGACTTTTCACTCCATCAGACGCCTCCGCCCGTGCAGACCATGTAGCCCTAAATATAAAACCTCCCGTGGCTCGCGTCCACTTTCCAGCCCAGACGCGGCGCCCTGCACAAAAAGCCCAGCTGCGGGCTGCCAGCCTCGCTCCGCTCTGGAGCCGCCGGCCGGGCTACCTGAGCAGCACTCCGCTCTGCCGCAGTCCCTGGCCGCCTGATGGGGCCCCAGGAACAGCCGGGGTGACGGCAAGGTGGGCTGACAGCAGCGGTGGGAGAGGGGAAGGCACTCACCCGCCCAGACAACCGACGGGGCGGGGACGGTGTGGGTCGGGACGCAGTCGCCGCAGAAAGACCGCCTGGGGTTTCCGGAACGCCGCAGCGGCTCGGGACGCTGCTACAGCTGCCGCTCCCGGACGGCGGCTTCCTCCCTCAGCTCTGTTTGGATTCGGTTGACCACGTCACTCTCAGCCGCGAGACCCGGATCTGCCCGCTCCAACGGGCGGCGCAACAGATTGCAGAGCCTGGAGACCCCAGCGGCCCCGCCTCCTGCGCCTGCGCGCCACGCGTCTACCCTGAGAGTCCGGGCGGGGCTGGGGCGCTGTGCGAGCGTCAAGTCCCGCCGTGCGTCGGGCGAGGAGCCGGGCTGTAGTTCCGGCTGGGCGGGGTGGGGCCGAGGACTGTGAAGGAAGCCGGGTGAGGTCCCGCGTTTGTCCTCTTGTTCCTCTTCGGCTCTGTGTCGTGTTGGGTGGACAAAGTCGTCTCACGCGGGTTTCCCTTTGCTGAGCCAGCGGCTTCCCTCGGCCGTGGGGTTGAGTGTCGGGTGGCAGACAGACGTGGCGTTGCAGGCCCGTAACACTAGCACTGTGGGCTGCTGAGACAAGGGGATCGCAAATTCAAGCACAGCCTGAGCAATTTAGCCATTTAGGCAGACGGTCTCAAAATTTAAAAAGGGCTGAGGATGTAGTTCACTGGAGACAGTCTCCAGTGCCAAAAGAAAAAAGAAAAGCCGCCGGGTGGAAGTGGGCACACAAACTGCTGAGACTGAATAGACCTGTGTAAGGTGGTGCCGTGTTTGACCACTGGGGCCCAGATAAAATTTGAATTTTGAAGATTACAAAAGTATGTCAGGTGTGGAATTATGGGTAACCCTTTACTGCCTGTGACTTTTTTTCACTGAAAAACTGACCAAAATTAAGTTCCCACTTTTTTTTTTTTTTTTTTTTTTTTGAGACAGGGTCTCACTATGTAGTTGAGACTGACCTGGAACTCACTAACCCAGGCTGGTCTCCAACTCACAGTATCCTCCTGCCTCAGCCTCCCAAGTACTGGGATTACAGGCGTGAGCCACCATGCCGGCCTCAAGTTCACACATTTTTTAAAAACAATGTGTCCAAAGGCGACCGGCTGGTGAGGAGGTGGCAGACTGGGACAGAAAGGGGGTCGTTGTTAGGCAGCCATCCCGAGCTTTGCTTTTAGTGGTTTGCAGTAAGGACACTGTTTCTAGTTTGGTTTTTGGTTTTTGGTTTGTTTTTGTTTTTTTTTTTGAGACAGGGTCTCACTCTGTAGTTGAGACTGACCTAGAACTCACTATGTAGCCCAGGCTGGTCTCGAACTCACGATCCTCGTTCCTCAGCCTCCTGAGTGCTAGGATTACAGGCATGTGCCACCACGCCCAGCATGTTTTGTTTTTGATTTTCTGTGGGTTTTGTTCTGTTTTGTTTTTTGAGTCAGAGTCTCCCTGTGGAGTTCTGGCTGGCCTTGAACTCACTGTGTAGCCCAAGCTGGCCTCAGCGATCTTTCTGAGTGTTGGGAATACAGGCGTGCATCACCACTCCCAACTAGAATGCGGTTTCTGAATTAGAATTTAATTCTTTTTTTTTAAATCTGTTACTTCTGTGCATTTATTTTTTTTAATTTTAAATTGAATTTATTGGTATATTCTAGGTAGACAGTACAGTTACATTCATTACTGGGATCTTGTACCTTTACATACCAGGTCTTGGGTCTTGGTTC